GAAAATGGGAAATGATGTTATAATATGAGTTAAAAAGAGTTAAAGTGTAGAGAAACCTTTCGTTCATCCATTTTCCCACCGCCATAACAACCATTCTCTAACTTCTCTCAATTTTCCATCCAATCTTTCAAGATTCCCAAGGACTTTTTGAGTAGATTTTGAGTAGATTTTTAATCTAAGCATCCTAAGGTAAGATTCTTGCTTTGAATGAGATTTTTAATATGTTTTGGTTAAAGCTTATATTATTTTTGTTTAAGTTGTAGAGAGAAATCAGCTACTATAGGAAAGAAAAGTGTTAGAGAAGCTTTTTCCCTCAGAAGGTAAGTAAATCCACCAAGTTAAGTTTTGACTAAGTTTTGAGTAGAGATTATTTTAACTTGTATGTATATGTTATCCTACAAAATTGAGATGAGATGGTGCTATGTCTTAGTATTTGGGTATTTTAAATGTGAGAGTGTTTTTGATGTGTATGGGAAATGGAGTTTGAGATGAAGTTTGAGAGATGTTGTGTAAACCTTTTTGGAAGTGCTTTTTCTTGACAGGGATTATGAGTATTTGAGGAGTTTTCCCCCTTTGGATGGCTGAGAAATGAATTATAGTAATTTTAGTAGAGTGTTTTTATGCACATGAGTTGCTTGATGAAATGCCTAGGTGAAATCTGCCCTGTCCACTGCCGTGACATTCTAAGTATTTTTGGCATCTTACATTTGAACTGGCTGAGACCAAAACATCAAAGTTGTAGCCCTGTGTTTAAGCTTTAAACGAGACCAAATCGTAGCAATCCAATATGTAATAACGCACGTTATGCCCTTTTTAGTGCAGACTGTGCAGAATGACTGTTTTGAGGAATCTTGCATTTGGCATTTCATAAGTGCATTAGTGAGCATGAGTTGTCCTTACACATTTTTCTTATGCACTTAAGAAGTAGCTTGAGACTTAGTAGAGAATGTAAGTATAAGCTACTTTAAGAGTAAAGAGAGAGAAAGAGAGTATGAGCACTAGAGAACGAAGAGAAAAGAGAATAGAGTAGGTTATGCGATGGGAAACCCGTGAGTAATGGGTAAGTTTCCCGCATGTACCTGCATTGAGAGAGCGGCATGATAAGAGAGAGAAAAGGTGTTAGCCCGTGAGAGTGCATGCGGATGAGGGCTATACCCGAATACCCGAGAGAGAGAGATTATACACTCACATGGCCAAGGTTTCCGAATCCATGCATAACCGAGTCCGATCGGCTAAATGAGTAGAAGTCACATAGAGTGGAGAGAGTCCCGGCCGTGCCTCCGGTAGATGAGGCCGGGACTACTAAAGAGAGTTTAAAAACAGTTATAGAAAGAGAAAGTATGAAGTATAAAGAGAGAATAAATGAGAACTGTAAGGAAGAGAACAGAGAGAAATGGCTACGGATAGATGTGTGAGGATTTACTTCTGAGCATCATTTGTGCTCACCCCATTGTTTTTCATGTTTTGCCGGATCAGTAAGGACATGGTCAGATGGGCGTTGGCAAGCGGCGGGAAATGGCTACACTGTCCACCCTGTTTTGATGTTTTGTACATGACACAACTTTTTGGATTTACAGGATGTATACATTTAATAAAAGAAAAATTTGGGCCCAACCTTTTTATGTTATTTTATATGTATTTTATTATGTACATGCTTTATGAATATTTGAGTAGCAAAAGGCTATCACACACTAAAAACAGAAAAATCGTCCATGAAAACTTCAATGGACTTCTCAACCATATCAGAGAAAATTGAAATCATGCAATGTTGAAAAGTTGGAGGAGCGTTGCACAAGCCAAAAGGCATTCTTCGGTAGGCGAATGTTCCATATGGGCACGTGAAATTCGTTTTCTCTTGATCTTCTGGCACTATAGCAATTTGATTGTAACCTGAATATCCGTCTAGGAAACAATCGAACTCATGGCCAGCTAACCTCTCTAACATTTGATCGATGAATGGCAATGGAAAGTGGTCCTTACGAGTCTCAAAATTTAGTTTGCAATAGTCAATACATACTCTCCATCCCATGACTATTCGTGTTGGAATCAGCTCGTTGTTATCATTATGGACCACTGTCATTCCTTCCTTCTTTGGCACTGCTTGGAATGAAATTGAAAAGCCTATTGAGGAGTATCAATAAAATAAGTTTAACGATCGATTTGTGGAATTCAGGTACTGAGAAGGTTGAATACATGGTTCTAACGAGGCATTGGATAGATACTAATTAGAGGTTGAATAAGTGTGTGCTCAGTTTTGTTCATTTCCCTCCTCCGCGTGGTAGGGTCCAGATTGCTGATTGTATATTTACGTGTTTGAGAAAATGGGGAATTGAAAACAAGGTCTTCACGATCTCAGTTGATAATGCAATAAGTAATGATGTTGCAATTAGGATTATGAGGGAAAACTTTTCAATAACCAGGAAGCTTGCTTGTTGAGGTAAACTGTTTCATGTTAGGTATTGTGCATACATATTAAATATAATGGTGAAAGATGGTATTGCTCAGATTAGGCACATCATTCAGGACGTCCCTGATAGTGTGTCGTACATCAATCGGAGAGTAGACTTACCATTTTTCAGAGATTGTCCAAAACTTGCAGTTACCATACTGGAAGCTAATCCTTGACTGTAAAACAAGAAGGAACTCAACTTATGAGATGTTGTCAATTGCACTGACTTTAAAAGGGTGTTTTCAAGTAATGTTGAAAGAGACCTGCATTATCATTCTTTGTAATGACTTCTTTCTACTAATATGCTCATAAAATATACTTAATAAAAATACATGTATAATTAATAGAAAGTAGTTGGGCCCAAATTTTTCTTTACTTAATATATACATTCTTTACATAGTACAAAAAGAACATGTACAAAAACTATCATAATGGTGGACAGTGTTGCCAGTTCTCTCCGCTTGCCGACGTCCATCCGACTGCATCCTCACCTATTTTCTGCAAAAACATAGAAAACAACGGGGTGAGCACAAAAATGCCTAGTAAGTAAATCCTCTACTCCGTTATCCCCGTGCATCACTATTTAATTCTTTCCTTACTCTACTCTTTTTCTTCTTTTTCTTTCTCTCTTGTTCTTTCTATTTTCTTCGTTGTTTCTATTTCTCACGGTACTCCTTTACTAATTCTCTTTCTCTATTCTTTCTTTCTTTTTGTTTCTTTCTTTCTCTCTTATTCTTACAAATCATGATACAAGTAATGACAACAATGCATGAATGAAATGTACATGCAGTAATGCATAGGAATGCATTCTCTTTCTTCTCTTCTGTTTTTCTTATTCTTGTAACAACTGTTTTCTACTTGTATTATCATAGAATATGCATATTAAAATACATGTAAAATTGCATAAATAGTTGGGCCCAAATTTTTCTTTTATTAAACATACACATTCTTTACACAAAAAGTTATATCATGTACAAAAACATTAAAAGCAGGGTGGACAGTGTAGCCATTTCTCTTCGCTTAATGACGCCCCTCCGACCGTGTCCTCACCTAGATCCTACAAAACATAGAAAAAATCGGGGTGAGCACAACTAAGGCTCAGTAAGTAAATCATCTACTCATCAATCCCCGTAACTCTCTCTCTGATTTTTTCCTTACGAGTCTCGTTTACTCTCCCTTTTATAATCTTTCTGATTTCTTTTTCTCGTAACTCTTTTCTAGTAACTCTCTTTAGTAAGTCACGACCCCATCTAACCAGAGGCACGGCTGGGACTCACTCCCACTCTACGTGACTTATACTCGTTCTAGCCGATCGGACTCGGTTATGCATGGATTCGGAACCCTTGGCCATGTGAGTACATAATCTCTCTCTCGGGTAAACTTGGGTATAGCCCTCATCAGCATGCACTCTCACGGGCTACACCACCTCTCTCTGATACTCATGTCGCTCTCTCAATACGGCGTACACGCGGGAATACTCTACCCATTACTCACGGGTCCCCATCGCACAACCTACTCTATTCTCTTATCTAGCACTACTTTCTCTTTATTCTCTAGTGCTCAATTTCTCTTTCTCTCTATTCTTAGAGTAGCTCAACTCAATTTCTCTACTCTCTTTTTTCTAATGCATAACTATTGCATGATTAATGCATATAGATGACTCATGCTCATTAATGCACTTATGAAATGCATTTATGCTATGTAGCAAAAATTAAGGCTTTCTACTTGATGCGTATTACTACAACATGCAAAACTAGCAAGTGCACTAGTCGCTCAAGTAATAGAGTGATGGGTAGGATATCGTTCCCACAAGGACTGGTAGCGAAGCACTAAGTTTCCTAACGTTAACAAGTTGAAGCAACCGAAAATCTTGGATTTGTGGGAGCAAATTGTAATTGAAAGAAAACTAAAACAAAATTTAACAAAGAATTAATTCTTAAAAAGGAAAACAAATGAAACACAGAAATTCAATTTAAGTAAGACGGGCAGGGTTTTGACTTCGTTTGGATTTTTATGGGTTAAACCTAAGAGTTACACTATTTTCACATTCACGTGCAATGGTTGTAAATCGAATTCACTACTATGTTAACATACCCTCTCGGGCTATGTTTTCCTATTCATNACAAAACTTGATGTTTTGGTGGGATAAATTTTATCAAAAAATCTTCCTATGCACCAATTGAAAGTTGATGTGTCATATTCATTCTATGTGCAACACATAGAAACATAAACATGGCTGCCCACACCTAATACAGTAATAATTGAGTTTGAGTTAAGTCTTTGTTTCATTTGACTATTACCATCAGACATCACATTCCAAATAGAAATGAAATCTTAGATATGGATGAAGGTTGCACAACTCAGAAAAATATAGATTGAACTTTGTCATATGGACTTTGATATTCTTTTGTGGTTTCTGATGACAAGAGGACCATTCATTACCGATAGCATGTTGAAGAACTTAAAGTTCTTTTGTTTGGTGATTTGACCACTATAATTTATTAGTACATGAGAAGAGTTCTGAGCATTTTCATTTTCTTTTCTGATGCAGAGCAGCTGTGGGTGTTGGATACTTTTCCTGGCGAAGTGAGGGCTGAAAACAGTGATGGTGGAGTAGAGATTCTTCTGCAGTTCTTGCAAAGTTTACCTTCACAAGTCCCATCTCAAAAGTAAAGATTTTATCACTTTAGTGACATGTTGTTCTTTGAATAGTGGATTCACTGTGTGTTAGTGAGCCTGTCATTTCCTTGGTAGAGTGATCCAGATGCAGGTTTTAGATGGAGTTGTGATATGGCATAATGTTTACTTACCTCTGGTGATAATGAGTAATCTCTATATATGTTTTTCATTAAATATAGGCACATTAACTACATAATCTTCTTTTTTACAAAGCATTTTCCTTGGGTAAAAAGGGATGGATGCTTATTCTGCTTTAGTTCCTTAAAACTTTGATTTATGTCAATGCAAAAGTGTTGTTTCAAAATTTAGGCAGTAGGGAATGGATTTCTTCTGCAATTTTAATTTCACCCTTCAATATTCTTTGGGTTTCATTGGCACTACTCAGGGGCCGTTGGAGGCCAGAGATCCTTCAAGGTTTTGTAAGAAACCCTATCCTTGTCAAAAAAAATAGTATTTTTTTTCACATTTTCCAAAATAATCGGTCAATACACAACATGCAGTTAAAACCTTTAAGTATACCTTGTTAACTTTGACTTTGAATAATCCTTCTCAAAAGAAAATCGTAAAAGAAAACAAAATAAAATAAAATGCAATCTAGTTTCAACTTCTAAACTTATCATCATCATTTGATTTTACTATAATTTGGTTGTAGAAATGCTGAATGACCATTAATCCCAAAAAAATTTAGCTGATTGGAAGTATCCATCAATGGTATTTAAATTTTATTATCTGTTATTTATTTACATGATGAAATGTGGATAAAATTATGCAGTTCTTGCTTTAAATTTGCTAAGCATCTTGATACCCTCAAACAGAGTAGTTAAATAACTATATGATAAGAGATGTCATAGTATGTTAATGTATGACAAGAGCACCCTTGCATGGAAACATTGTCACCTGTATTTTTCAGTTGAGCAATTGCGTGGAGCTCTACTTTTTATTTTTTTCTTTTTAAATGTTGGTTAAAAATAAACATGTCAATGTTTCACCTGGATCAGTTTTTCTCAATGTTGATTGATTTGATATTGGATAGCTTAAATTCATATGTGCATGGTAGATTAACTCTTAGCGTTATGCCTTTCCCTTTTTTTTTTGCCCTCTTTGTACTGTTCTTATTGTTGCTACTTTGTTTCTTGCTCCAGGTGGCTTGTGAACCACATGATTGAGCTTTGGATTCCCCAAAACCAGTGTCAGAGTGGATCGGAAGCAACCTCAAGGAACCTGGAGAGCATGAAACATGGGCCTTTAATCTTGAAGGTGCTGCAGATGTTTAATTCTTACCGGTAAAGTTCTCTAAAGTTTTTCAAACTATCAGTTTGAACCACTTGCTTTTTGCTGCCAGAAAGAAAAGGGAATTTGAAGATGTCTGGGTATCAAAATAATTTTATAAAGTCAATAAACAAAGGAATTTGATTCCTTTTATTATGATCTTCTTTAGGGAGACTTCTAATTGGCCACTATTGGAGCACCTTCCGGCTTCCACAAGGGATGGAGATAGATATTGTATGAGCGGAGAAGAGTGACATATTGGAGCCAGATGTGATTCAGCGGCTTGAAGGCCTTGCAAGTAAAGTGAGAGATGGACGGGAGGATAAAGTTTCCGTACATGTTCTACCCAATTCAGGTCATTGGGTTCATGTGGACAATCCTTAAGGGCTTCTTTAGATTATGGCTACTAAGTTAGCCTCTACTTAACCATATTTTAGTTTAGACATCAGCAAATATATAGATAGCATTTTCGCGATTTAATATCCTATCTTTATTTCGTCATAAAATCTTGTTCACCTTCACTCAGGATTTTGTTGAATGATCTGATGAGTTGCCTACTTGCCTTTATGTGACCTCAAATATCTGTTCACCTTCTGGGTTGATTTACTAGTTATGGCTTTCTTTAGTCTTAACATCCTTGAGTGGGTAAATATCGTCAATAAAAACTAAAAAGGGGTCTTATCCATTAGTTTCTTTGGTTGTGCTTGATTCTCTATTCCTATCCTATCATATTTAAAATACATGTTTATTTCATTATTCTCAAAATCAAATCTTATTTTATTCAATTCAAAATATTTAGTTTTTTTAACCCTTAGATTTGTTAATTTGACTAAACACCCCCAATTAGTCGATCGTACACTATTCCGTCATTCTCTGATGATGGTGATCGACTGTTGGCATTTAATAGGTGGGTGGGGGTATTTTTATTACTTTTAAAACTTTTATTATAGGAGGTGTTTAACTAAATTAACAAATGTAGAGGATTAAAATTTAGTTTTACCAAAACACATTTTCAAATTCAAATTTTATCCTTTAATAATAATTCAACTTAACTTTTTTAAAAATACCATTCAAAATAATAAAGCAAACATAGCCTTAAAATCCAAGGTCAAAGTAGTGGCACTTACATGAGATTGGGGCATATGCCACCTGAAATTTGAAAACTCAAAATAATAAAGCAAACGCACCCTTAAAAAATATTTATTTATGGAAAATCCTAAATTTTATATTAAGGCATGTGAAAAAAGAATAGACCTTTTTATTTTACTTGTATTTTCCATAAAAAAGAAAAAACTAATACGATGGGCAGTTGTGTCATTTCCATATCATTCTAAATGATAAGTGAAACCCTAACTATAAATTCTTTCGCTAAACCTCTAAGCCCTTCGAGCAGCTGCTTCAAGATCAATCAAACAAACCTCTCAGAAGCTCTAACTTGAATCCTCTCACTCTCTGTTTCACTCGCAGCCATGGTAACCCATTCAAATCTAGTCTCTTCTCTCTTTTTCTTTTCAATTAATTAATCATTTGAAGCCATAATTCCAATTTAGTTTCCGATATAAGAAGTGTGCAATAATACTCGTTTTTTGTTTTTTGCTCTGAAGAAAAAATTAACTGTAACATAATTTACAAGTGTAGATGGTTTTATTTTCGTTTTGCAACCAAATTATTGGCAATAAATTCCTTAAATCGTGAGAATCTGTTACTTTTTCCTACGTTTAAGGGCAGGCATTTTGTATGTTTCGCATTTGTAAAGGATCCTATTGTGAAGCCTAATTCCTATACAGATTATGTTTAAAATAAAGCTGATTACGAGCTTTTCTTAAAAAAAAAAAAAAAGAACAGTTGTTCCTGGTTTACTGGAGAAGTGTTTGTTGTTAGACACTTCTTTTATTGGCTTGGAATTTTTATTGAGGTCCTTACTTGGATTATTATGGTTTGGCGGGGTCCCTTTTACGAATTTGAGGAATTTTGTTTAACCAAAAAGAACTAGAAGAATGAGTTGCATTTTTGTTTCTCATTTTGTGTTAGTGAAGAGTATTATTCGAATATCTTATCTGATAGCTAGTTTTTGGGTGATGGATTTTGTAGTCAAAGAAGAAAGTCAGAGAGCCGAAGGAGGAAAACATTACACTTGGACCAGCTGTACGAGATGGGGAGCATGTATTTGGTGTCGCCCATATTTTTGCCTCGTTTAATGACACATTCATTGTAAGTAGTGAGCATAATGTATTTAGATTGTCTTGTAAAACGTTTTGCATTTACTTAAATGTGGTTTCTTTGAATTGTAGCATGTTACTGACTTGTCTGGAAGAGAAACACTTGTTCGCATCACTGGTACGGTACACTCCTTGGTTCATTGAGATAGTTTCTTTATTTCGTGTGTATGTATCATCCAAACTTTTATGGTAGCTTGCAATTTATGATGATATTCTTATGTGTAGTTACTTTTATGTCTCCCTGGAGTTTGTAAAGTAATACAGATAAAGTTCTAGAAATTAAATTAGATCGTAGTTGTATAGTTATTATTGTAGACTTCTGTGATTTCTAGTTTGTGTTGATTTACTGGAAGAAGTTGATTTTCTTTTTATGGTAGTGGTGATACATGTTCCCATGTACAGGTGGTATGAAGGTGAAAGCTGACAGGGATGAATCCTCTCCATATGCAGCCATGCTTGCAGCGCAAGATGTTTCTCAACGATGCAAGGTTTTACATTCTTTTTAGTTCTCTCAATGGATATTATAAATCTAATATTTACCATGACTTCATTTAAACTAGAAATTCATGCTTTTCTTATTATAGAAAGAACAGTTTATTGGCACTTGTTTCCAAAAAGTATTAACTTGTAGAACTGGTAACCTGCAGGAGCTTGGCATAACTGCTCTTCATATCAAGCTCCGGGCTACTGGAGGGAACAAGACCAAAACACCTGGTCCAGGTGCTCAGTCAGCACTTAGAGCCCTTGCCCGTTCAGGCATGAAAATTGGTCGCATAGGTCTGTTTTTCTAACTTAGTTTAGTAGGCATTGTTTGGTTTGTTATGTGTATGTGCCTCTGGGTGATCAGAATGCATTTACCTCTTTCACCTTGTGTCTTCAAGTGAATGTGATTATGCGATTAATGAGTACCTTTTATAATTCGGTTTGATTTCATAAGAATTACAGTTGTCCATGTCTTCTGTGCTCTGGAACTTTTTTGGTTTCCTTGGATGCTTGTTGATACTTAAATTAATAAATATCTTCTTTTCTTCTTCAAATTGACAACTGATCATTATTATCTGGTCACATGGTTGAAATGCAATAATAATTTCTTATCCTCATGGCTGAAATAGATAGTTGGGACTAGCCTGTCCAATGATTTTCTGGGCATTTTGATATTGAAATTTGATCTATTTATCATTATAGACTGGGTTAAATGTTTTTCTTTTTTCCCTCCAGAGGATGTGACACCAATTCCCACCGACAGTACTCGCCGAAAGGGTGGCAGAAGGGGAAGAAGGTTGTGATTCTTTGCGCTATTGTTTAAGCTGCTGCTGTTGTTACAGGGATTTTTCCTTCCCATTGATTAGATGCAAGAATGCTTTTGATTTTTCTCCTTTGTTTGGGACATCTGTAGTTTTGGATTTGGTTATGTTCACAATTTTGATCAGTTGGATCTATACAATGGTAAAGACTAGTTACTTCTTTGGTAGGTTCTGGATGTATTGGTTAAGCCAGTACCTGTTCGGCAGCAAATTATGACTGTAACGGTTATATTCACATTTAATATCATTTTCTAGATGCTGATCATACAGTTTGATCATCTCGATCAATGTCTTACTATCCTTCAATCGTTTTTGATAATAGTCTAACAAAATTTAACTGATGTCAATGTGATTGGAAAGTGTATGGGAAAAACATTTATTTTCTAGAGGGAACTAGAGAGGAAATTGATGCCGGAAGAAAGAGGTTTATAGTAATGGATAGGATATATAATTGGAAAATATTGGCCTTTATGAGCCATGTTATGTTCAACTTTGTTTTTGTTTTCATTTTCTATATTAATAATTATTCAATTATCATTTTTGTTTTCTACCTGAGAAAATTTTATATGATTAACTTAAAAAAATTATATCTATCATGATATTATAAATTTATTCTTAGAAAAAGGCAAGTAACGTATTTTCATTTTCAAATACTGCAAAAGATTATGGTAAATCCATTGTCAAATTTTGAAACTATAAAATCAAACTTTTTATTTTCATTTTTAAAAACAATAATCAACATCAAGTGTTAAAGTTTAGTGAAGGAGTTGGTTCGATGCACCAAATTAGCATGGATAGATTTTTTTCAACATCTTGCATTTTGATAGATATTATTTTATTCATCAAAATAATTAAATACAATTAACTTGAGAATGATATTTAATTATTTATAGTAAAATAATTTTAGAAGTACTATATAAGGTAGCAATAACTCTCAAATTTTTTTTTTTTTCACTATTGTATTTTATTAAGAGTCAGGCTATATTGACTTAAAATAGTGACGAGTGTTTTTATTCTTGTTTACAACTTTACATATAAAAATTTTCACTTAAAATTCAATTAAATAGTTAAAATTACGCAGAAGAGAAAAGACTGGGCTTTCGGCCTTCTTTTTCTTTATGTTGAGCCGAGCCCAATATGACTTACGAAAAAACCCTAGACACTTTCTATAAAAACCTAATTATCATGGCCACCAATCCGCTGTTCTTGCGAAAAAAAATTCGGAGCCAAGATGCAGATCTTCGTAAAGACACTTACAGGGAAGACCATCACTCTCGAAGTCGAGAGCAGCGACACCATCGACAATGTCAAGGCGAAGATCCAGGACAAGGAAGGTGATTCATTAACCTTTCTCTATTCAACTCAAAAACGACGCCCTTTTATGTGTAGATTTTGATCAGAAAATGATTGAACAGGAATTCCACCGGACCAGCAACGTCTGATCTTCGCCGGTAAGCAGCTCGAAGATGGGCGTACCTTGGCGGATTACAATATCCAGAAAGAATCGACTCTTCATTTGGTTCTGAGGCTTCGAGGAGGAATCATCGAGCCTTCTTTGATGGCTTTGGCTCGTAAATACAATCAGGACAAGATGATTTGCCGCAAGTATGCTCACTCTTATTGAATATATTTATCTATATTAAACTTAGTTGGGTTTGATAATTGTGGTTTTGGTTAAGGGGCTTGACTTAGCTTCTCTTGCTATGACAGTGCAGAAGAAGTCATACAAGTACCCAATATAAACAAACTTCCATTCGTCAACTTTGTCAACTGTTTTTTTATTTATTTTAGTGGCAGTTGATTTTCTTGGGTGGTACATCTTTGAATTAATGCATTCTTGTCGTACTTAGGTGGTGATTGTTGAGGTTTCTGGTAGGATATTCACTTGATTTGTTGGAAAAGTGTGCCTATGAACTTCATTTTAAGCTCTTTTGATTTCGAGGTAGCACTTTTTCGTGAGTGCTCTTTCCAAGCAGTATAACTGAGTTTATGTTTAGGTTAGAGCTATATAAGGTTTCCATATTCATAGTGTATATGGGAGTGCTTTTACTTGAAGTGATTTTTTGAAAACATTTCATGGTTGTGAGGTTGAGAATGCTTAGTGTTATTGAAAAACTAACAGTAGAGTTTCAAGGTGAAATTCTTTAACTTGATGTACTTTTTTTGGGAAGCATTGTGTAGTTACTTTACCCAAAAGTGGTTCTGAGTGTTCTGTAAGAAGTTCCTGAAGTGCAGCTTCTTTGTGGTTGAGGACACGAGAATTATTCTTTTGAATAAGTACTTAATGTTCATATTTTTATAGAAAAATTGCTTTAGAGGAACTTGTGTTTGGCTAAAGTGCTTTTTGCTCTAGGAAACGTTTGAATTGTTTATTTAAGAAATAGGTGATAGGTATGCTGATTTTTATCTTGAAAATTTTTTCATTGTTTTTTGAAGAAATATTGATCGGTAACTTGATTTGCTTTTGAGGAAAAAAATTTCATTGTTCTATCAAAAAGTTGGTTTAAGTGTTTTTGTAGAAAGCGCTTTTAAATTATTAAAGGAATAAAAAAAATTTTTGAACAATTAAAAGCGCATTCTATAAAATTACTTAAACTTCTTTTTGATAAAACCTAAAAGTGTGTTCTTGTAAACTTGTTTTAAAATGTATTTGCACCTATCAAGTGTTTAGTTGGGAAGTGTTTCAATGGTTTTTAAACATAATATGCACTTCAGCTTAACAGTTTAAACTATTAGATAAAAGGTAATTTTTTAACGTATGCCTTAAGGGTACATTTTAAGGTTACAAAAAGACAGAATTTTGATTGTATCAATATTTAATGATTTTTACTTTTTACTTTTTTGAATAAAATGTATTGATACAATCTAAATTTGTTTGTTTGTGGCCTTAACATGTGCCTTTAGGACACACGTTAAGATCACCTTTTTAGGTATGCCCTAAAGGAATAGAGACAAATTTTGATTATATCAATATTTTTATTTACAAAAAGATAAATAAAAGAACTTCAATATATTGATATAATCAAAAATTTTGTATTTTTGTAGCATTACAATATGCCTTTATGGTGTACGTTAGGATTATTCGTACATAAATATTGATGCTTTTTAAATTTCTAGTTGAAGGTGCTTTCATNTTTTTTTTTTTCACTATTGTATTTTATTAAGAGTCAGGCTATATTGACTTAAAATAGTGACGAGTGTTTTTATTCTTGTTTACAACTTTACATATAAAAATTTTCACTTAAAATTCAATTAAATAGTTAAAATTACATAGAAGAGATAAGTCTGGGCTTTCGGCCTTCTTTTTCTTTATGTTGAGCCGAGCCCAATATGACTTACGAAAAAACCCTAGACACTTTCTATAAAACCCTAATTATCATGGCCACCAATCCGCTGTTCTTGCGAAAAAAAATTCGGAGCCAAGATGCAGATCTTCGTAAAGACACTTACAGGGAAGACCATCACTCTCGAAGTCGAGAGCAGCGACACCATCGACAATGTCAAGGCGAAGATCCAGGACAAGGAAGGTGATTCATTAACCTTTCTCTATTCAACTCAAAAACGACGCCCTTTTATGTGTAGATTTTGATCAGAAAATGATTGAACAGGAATTCCACCGGACCAGCAACGTCTGATCTTCGCCGGTAAGCAGCTCGAAGATGGGCGTACCTTGGCGGATTACAATATCCAGAAAGAATCGACTCTTCATTTGGTTCTGAGGCTTCGAGGAGGAATCATCGAGCCTTCTTTGATGGCTTTGGCTCGTAAATACAATCAGGACAAGATGATTTGCCGCAAGTATGCTCACTCTTATTGAATATATTTATCTATATTAAACTTAGTTGGGTTTGATAATTGTGGTTTTGGTTAAGGGGCTTGACTTAGCTTCTCTTGCTATGACAGTGCAGAAGAAGTCATACAAGTACCCAATATAAACAAACTTCCATTCGTCAACTTTGTCAACTGTTTTTTTATTTATTTTAGTGGCAGTTGATTTTCTTGGGTGGTACATCTTTGAATTAATGCATTCTTGTCGTACTTAGGTGGTGATTGTTGAGGTTTCTGGTAGGATATTCACTTGATTTGTTGGAAAAGTGTGCCTATGAACTTCATTTTAAGCTCTTTTGATTTCGAGGTAGCACTTTTTCGTGAGTGCTCTTTCCAAGCAGTATAACTGAGTTTATGTTTAGGTTAGAGCTATATAAGGTTTCCATATTCATAGTGTATATGGGAGTGCTTTTACTTGAAGTGATTTTTTGAAAACATTTCATGGTTGTGAGGTTGAGAATGCTTAGTGTTATTGAAAAACTAACAGTAGAGTTTCAAGGTGAAATTCTTTAACTTGATGTACTTTTTTTGGGAAGCATTGTGTAGTTACTTTACCCAAAAGTGGTTCTGAGTGTTCTGTAAGAAGTTCCTGAAGTGCAGCTTCTTTGTGGTTGAGGACACGAGAATTATTCTTTTGAATAAGTACTTAATGTTCATATTTTTATAGAAAAATTGCTTTAGAGGAACTTGTGTTTGGCTAAAGTGCTTTTTGCTCTAGGAAACGTTTGAATTGTTTATTTAAGAAATAGGTGATAGGTATGCTGATTTTTATCTTGAAAATTTTTTCATTGTTTTTTGAAGAAATATTGATCGGTAACTTGATTTGCTTTTGAGGAAAAAAATTTCATTGTTCTATCAAAAAGTTGGTTTAAGTGTTTTTGTAGAAAGCGCTTTTAAATTATTAAAGGAATAAAAAAAATTTTTGAACAATTAAAAGCGCATTCTATAAAATTACTTAAACTTCTTTTTGATAAAACCTAAAAGTGTGTTCTTGTAAACTTGTTTTAAAATGTATTTGCACCTATCAAGTGTTTAGTTGGGAAGTGTTTCAATGGTTTTTAAACATAATATGCACTTCAGCTTAACAGTTTAAACTATTAGATAAAAGGTAATTTTTTAACGTATGCCTTAAGGGTACATTTTAAGGTTACAAAAAGACAGAATTTTGATTGTATCAATATTTAATGATTTTTACTTTTTACTTTTTTGAATAAAATGTATTGATACAATCTAAATTTGTTTGTTTGTGGCCTTAACATGTGCCTTTAGGACACACGTTAAGATCACCTTTTTAGGTATGCCCTAAAGGAATAGAGACAAATTTTGATTATATCAATATTTTTATTTACAAAAAGATAAATAAAAGAACTTCAATATATTGATATAATCAAAAATTTTGTATTTTTGTAGCATTACAATATGCCTTTATGGTGTACGTTAGGATTATTCGTACATAAATATTGATGCTTTTTAAATTTCTAGTTGAAGGTGCTTTCATTGTTGTGAGAAGTGTTCCAAACACTGTCAATGTCGGCTGGGGTATTAATAAGCAGAGAGTGCTTCTGATTTTTTTTTCGTCATTTTGGTTGAAGGATATGGTTACTTCCTTTGTATTGGGTGAGAGTTTAAAAGTATTTATTTACATAATGGGACTATACGTTGAACTCTCGCATGCCATTAAAGGTGCATTGGAGAGCATCCTAGTTCCAGACATTGATTTCCATTACAACTTTGTCAACTGTTATTTTTTACTGGCAGTTGATTTTCTTGGGTGGTACATGATTTTCTATCATCTTGGGATACTTGATTCCTTCCTGGATAATATTTTTAGTTTTTCCTTGTGGAGGCCTTAATTATGTGCTCTATTTTTTTGAAATTGAATTTGAACTTGTTCAATAACATTTTTTGAGTGTTTATTATCATTTGCAATTTCAGTTTAATCAAGTTTGTTTAAATTTTCTCTGAAACATTTGTGAATCAGCTGTTTTCTGCTGTCTTATAATTGCGTAACCGTCTTGGCAGTAGTGGCGTAATTGTCGTAAAATACCTTGTATCTTATCTTGTTATGTTATGTGGGCCAGAAGTGATTGTGTTAGTGTTAGTAAAAGGCTTTGCCGTCTAATTTAGGTCATAGCATGTTAATAATTCTTATGCACCTTTATTTTCGGGGATACATAGTGTGACACTGCCCAGTATCATATTTTATGTTATTGTTGGGTCATTTGTGGTTTTTGGTACTAAATTATAGTTGTTTTACTGGATTAAATTTTGGATTGCTAGATGTTATGCCCGCCTGCATCCAAGGGCTGTAAATTGCCGGAAGAAGAAATGTGGTCACAGCAATCAGGTTTGTCTTACCTTTTGCCACTTGATTTGATCTTATATTTGTTGATAATTGATATGTCTGGAGATTCTTTGTTCTGTCAACAAATTAAGAACACTGTTCATTTCTTGCAGTTGAGGCCTAAGAAGAAGATCAAGTAGACTCTTGAACTCCTTCATGTTGTTTGGTTTAGGAGTAAAATATTAAGTGAGATGAATTTGATTTTTGCCTTTTAAGATTGGAAAGCATTGTGGTATTTGAACCAAGAAAACCATTCTGTTGGAAAATTATAGTTGATTATTCAGTTGAAGCAAGCTGTATTAAATTTGAAGATTATTGGTTGTTGGTTTCATTTGTGAATTACTTTACTCTATTTTAGCCCGCCCTAGGAATTTCTTCAGTTTTCAGAGGCACACCAGGCCATTATTAGGGAGGTATCTTACATTGAAAAAGAAAATAAAAAGTTATGTTATTTGTTTGTTTGGGGGATTAACTGTGTGTATCATAAAAAAAAAATGTGATTTCTGTGAATCACAGATATTACAATAGTTCTTTTATTTCCTCTGGAAATGTACTTCTGAAATTCTCTCACAATTTTCTTTTTTTATTTAAAAAAAGAAATTCAGGATTAGAAAATAACTTCATATTCTTTTTGTATTTGCTTAATGGGAAGGAGTTTTATCTATTAAATTTTAAAAAAAATTGACAAATGGACGCTTTTTGGTAATTTGAATACGTTATATAGTTTTGTATACTAAAAAATCGATAATGGGCTTAAAAATAGTTTTGGTGCTTGGGCCCTTTTTAAGATTATGCTACAAGTTAGTTTGGGCCTAGGAGGCCAAGAATGTAATGTTCAGAGCCTAAGTGGCTTATTTTTCAGTTTGTTTGGGCCTACGTGGCCTAAGGTGTGTTTTAGGTCATGTTGGGGTTGGACTTTCAGTTTTGCTCTCCAAATTTCCGTATTCAAACCCCACTAATTTATTAAGTCCCTATCATATTAATTTTAATTTTGTAAAACATTATTGTGTATGTTCATTTTTTTTTATAACGTATTTTTAGACAAAAGTATTTAATGTGTTTTTATTTTCCGTATTTTTCAATTGCTTTCAATATTTTTTTTAATAAAATAATGATTTATTTGACATTTTTTTTTACATGATGGAGATTCTTTTTTCTTTTTGCCACTGCAATTACAAGTCTTCCATAACTGATGATATATACTGACAATTATATCCATCTCATTATAGTTTTGAAATTGGAACTTTAACACTATAAGCTAACATAATGTAATTAACAAAAAGAAATAAACTAAATACTTGCTTTTGTTTACTCTTCCACATTTTTTTGTTTTACGAACGTAAAGAGTAGATTTCATAAAATGATTAATGATGATGGGTATCTCATACATTATTCATCAGAGAATTTGTTGACATAATTAGCCATAAATGTTTTGAGTTCCAATTTGTTTTATTTACAGAAACAATTAATAAAAATCTCTTTTTTAAGGGATCAAATTGAAATCTAATCTCTTAATTGGTTTTGTAATTAAGTCCATCATCTAATTTCTTTTCATTTTTATCCTCTTTACTCTAATAGTTAAGGAAAACCACTCTAGAGCTTGATTGGTTGCACTCTAGTGCTAAAGTGCAATGTTCTGAAACTCGAACCGGATTGACGACTGAGTTTTGTCAATAACTCCGGTTCATTAAGAATTAAAACTCGATATTTTGATTTAAACTGTTTTTTACTGCTTTTGGACCGGCAAAATAGTATTAGACCGCCGGTCCAATCGGATCAGATGGAAATCCGGTCCAACAAATGTGACTGTTTTAAAAGGCAAAATTTTTGGCTTTTTTGCTTCAGCCTTTGTTTCTTTAATCTCCATTTGTTTCTCTAGCTTTTAATCCAACTTCATTCATCTTCTTTTCCACCTTTATTCATCTTCGGTTTGATTCGAGCTTAAAAAGTGAAATTAAAAAAAAGATGAAGGAGAAGATCTGAAGAAGCAGAAGAAGAAAGAGAAGAGGATGGAGAGAAAGAGAAAAAAAAAAATAAGATGAAGAAGAAGATCTGAAGATGCAGAAGAAGAGAGAGAAGAGGAAGGAGAGAAAGAGAGAAAAAAATAAGACGAAGAAGAAGATATGAAGATGCAGAAGAAGAAAGAGAAGAGGAGGTGAGAAAAGAGAAGAGAATATGGAAGAAGTAAAGAAAAAGGAGAAGAGGACGGCGAGAAAGTGTTAGGAGAGCATATACTTCCAGGAGAACTTCAAAGAGAGTTCGACAACCTCCAGAATGGTACAAGGATTATGTGGCGATGGAAGCTGAGCTGGAGGATGACGTTATTTAGAAGTAGTATTTGTTTTAGGTGGTGGGAAGTTATTTAATCGGGATTTAGTAAGTATTAGGAATAAAGGGTATTTCCTTGTTGCAGTATTATTTTAAGTCTTTAGAGTCTTTTGAATTAAGAGTAATACTACACTTACACTATTTTTGTATACAATTTTTATTACACCATGATGTAGTATATGTTACAACCACATAAATTCTATTACAATATTAAAAAATTTAAAATAATTAAAAATTTGTGTGGTTATGGCATATGTCACATAATGATGTAATGAAAATTGTGTAAAAGAGTGATGTAAGTGTAGCGTTACTCTTGAATTAATTAGGAAGGTAGTCTTTGAAGTCAATTAGGATTGTTGGCCTGTTAGGCTATTTAAGGATTAACGTTCTCTAAATCAGGGAGCTGAGTTTTAATAAAAAAATTCTCTTTCTTTATCTCTAATATTCTTGGGAGGTGCTGTTCCCTCATATAAAGCAGTTATATCCTAACAATTGGTGCTTTCGTTCTTCTTCAATGGTAGACGGAACTCATTTGAAAACTTTGGATGAACAGGTTTGTCAACTAGCGGCTTCCTAGGCTGATATGGTGGAACAATTGGATTCTTTGGGGCAATTTTTCAAGGAATTGGATTTGCAAGTTACTGTCTTGGATGCTGAATGAATTGAAAGGCAGATGTCACAGTCTAGTGGGGCGCCTAAAGGAGACAATGGCGAATTATTTGCGGGAGGCAATGGGGTTTCTTCAACAGGATTAGGGTCTCAGTGCCATAATTCCTTGGGTGTTCCTTTCAAACCCTTTTGGTTGGAACTTTCTCGTTTTGATGGTACAAACCTGAAGGNAGAGAAGGAGAAATTAAACAAAGATATAGAAATGGATAGTCTTGCACTCTACCATATTCAAATGGCAGTGGAGGATTCCATCTTTCCAAGGATTAGTGGAGCTACAATACTAAGCAGGCTTGGGGACTTTCAAGGAAGTGCCAAGGTATGCATCGTTAAACTTCAAACTTGGGGAAGAGATTTAGAGAATGCAAAAATGAAAGATTCTGAGACCACTAAAGAATATTACTTTAGATTAAGAGGAATAGTGAATTAGTTGAGAGCCTATGGAAAGGATATCCCTGAAAAGAGGAGGGTAGAAAAAAATCCGAATTAGTCTCCTAGGAAAGTATGATCTAATTATTACAACTAGTGAGGAGACAAAGGATATTACCACTCTGCCAATGACAAAGCTAGTGGGCTCTCTAGAAGCATACGCAAAAACATCAAGTATGTGAGAACGTGATACTATAGAAAATGCGTTTTAGTCTAAGCTCAAGATAAGATCTTAGAATTCTAGAAATAGAGGGAGAAATTTTGAAGGAAAATCTAAGAATAAAGAAAGTGAAGAAGGCATTAAAAGAGAAAGAAAAGAAAAATATATGTCATGCCACATTTGCAAGAAGACCGGTCATCTTGAAAAAGATTGTTGGCACAAGGGGAAACCAAAATGTCAGAGCTGTGGTAGATTTGGGCACGCACAAAAAGATTGTCGCTCTAGGCAAAGGAATGGAGCTAACTTTTCTGACGAAAAAAAAAAAAAGAGAATAGGGGGTGCGTTTGTTTCCTTATTTTTGCCCTTTCATATTCTTATTATTTTCAAAATGTATATTTATTTTTTTATTCTAAAAATATTATTATATTTTATTTACTTATTTTTAAACTCTCTAAGTTTATTAATTTAACTAAACATCCTAAAAAAAAGTTTAAAAATTGACAAAAATATATTCATCCACCGATATTTGTCAGATTCTGATCACCACCGTTTGAAGGTGGTCGGAATCTGGTATAATGGCGTACTATTAGTTGGATCTGGTCGGTAGTGCCTTGATCTAGTTTTTTTTGACTAGATCTATGTTGGATCTGGCTAGAAAAGGCTAGATGTATGACCAAAGATCTGGCTGTAGTTAGTATTCAACAATAGTCATATCTTTGGTCATCGTTAACGACCAAACACGGTCAGATTTGGTCGTCAATGATCGGATCTAGTCATAAATCTGATCTTTTTCGACTAGATCCACGGTGGATCTGGTTGGAAAAGGCTGTATCGGTGCATGATCAACGATATCCAGTTGGTTTTGTGCCAATATGGGGACTTTAGCCACCCTCTGGTAATGGTGGTTGGTTGCCGGTATTTAATAGGTGGGTGAAGGTATTTTTGTTAATTTTCAATGTTTTATTACAGTAGTGTTTTATAAATTAACAAACTTGGGGGTGTTTTTGTTAATTTTTAAGTCCTATCTCGTAATAACCACCTAACTCTTATTTTTTTTTAAATACTATTCAAAATACTAAAATAAACGCACCCTTATTATTTACTCTATGCTTGTCATGCCGCCTTAGAAGTCAAAAATGACACTTGGTATGTAGATAGTGGTTGCAGTAATCACATGACTAGTAACGAGAAGATCTTTGAAGACTTAGATAAGTTAGTGAAGTCATAAGTTAGACTAGGCAATGAAACACTAGTAGAAGTCGAAGGAAAAGGCATGATCGCTGTCGACACAAAGAAAGGTATGCATCTTATACGAGATGTACTATTGGTGCCTCGATTAGAGACCAATCTCCTTAGTGTAGGCCAAATGATGGAGAGAAGATATTCCCTACTCTTCAAAGAAGACTCATGCACAATTTACAACAACAAAAACAAAAATACAAAGATTACTAAATTAAAGATGCAGGAGCAGAGAAATTTTCCAATCAGCTAGCATCACACTGAAGTAGTTATGAGGACTCCAGAAGATGAATCTTGGCTCTAGCATTGAAGGTTCGGCCACTTCAACTTTAATGGGCTAAAGATTCTTCACCAGAAAAATATGATGAAAGATTTACCTAGCATCCATGCAAACAATGACGTATGTGAGAGATGTCTACATGGCAAGCAACATAGAAAATAATTTCCAACAAGCAGAGCATAAAGAGCCAAGGAAATCTTGGAGCTTGTACATACATATGTTTATGGGCCAATAAAGACACCGTCCCTTGAACAAAACAGGTACTTCATTCTCTTCATTGATGACTATACAAGAATGACATGTGTCTACTTTATACACAAAAAATCAGAAGTCTTCAAGATTTTCAAAAAATTCAAGAATCTAGTAGAGAACCAAAGCTCTTAGAGAATTAAAGTGCTAAGAAGCGATAAAGGAAAAGAGTATACATCTGAAGAGTATGAAGAGTTTTTTGAAGATGAAGGAGTAGAACATCAATTGACAGTTGGATACACTCCAGAACATAATGGCATTATAGAAAGAAAAAATAGATAGTGGTTGAGATGGCAAGAACTATGCTAGTAGAGAAAGGTATGCCAAAGACATTATAGGCTGAAGTAGTATAAATAACTGTCTATCTACTCAAAAGGTATCCAACAAAAGAAATGCAAAACAAGACCCCAATAAAAGCATGGAGTGGACACAAGTATCATCACAATACTTAAGAGTATGCAAAAACATTTGCTACACGCACATACCTGATGTAAAAGGGCAAAAGTTAAAGGAAAAAACCAAGAAAGGAATATTTTCGGTTGCAGCACACAATCAAAAGGCTACTGTATCTACAACCTTAAGACAAAGAAACTAATTATCAGTTGAGATGTAGAGTTCGACGAAAATGTTATCTAGAATTAGGATAAAGAAAAGATAGAGAAGCAAAACATCATGGTACCACGACTACAGGTATCAAGTGAAGAACATGAAGCTACAAGGGTAGAGACTCCTCATACTACAACACCATCTTTAAGCCTCATCCAGTTCAGAAGAGGTATAAATAGATTCATCTTTAGAATTTTCACCAAGGAAGACAAAACCCCTTCAAGAAATATACGAGACATGCCATTTCGTAACCATGGAACCAGAAAACTTTGAAATAGCAGCTAAGCAAGAAGCATGGGTAAAGGCGATGGAGGAAGAGATCAAGATGATAGAGAAGAATGAGACATGGAAGCTAGTAAATCGTCCAACCAACAAAGAAGTCATCAGAGTCAAATGGATCTATAAGACAAAGTTCAACTCCGATGGATCAATTAAGAAGCATAAAGCCAGATTGGTCACTAAAGGATACTCACAACTTCTAAGAATCGACAACAATGAGACATTTGCTCCAGTCGCATGCATGGATACGATAAGAGCACTCATTGCATTGGCAGCTCAAAAGTAATGGAAGCTCAAAAGTAATGGAAGCTCAAAAGTAATGGAAGATCTATCAATTGGATGTCAAGTCAACCTTCATTAATGGCTATCTTGAAGAAAAGATATATGTGGAGTAGCACATGGGTTCGTGGTCAAAGTCGAAGAAGACAAAGTTCTCCTACTAAAGAAAGCCTTTTATGGGTTAAAGCAAGTCCCTTGAGCCTTGTATAGTCGAATCGATAACTATTTAATTGACCAAGGATTCAGGAGGAGGCAAAGCGAGCCTACTCTCTACATCAAGACTCCGAGTAAAAATGAGATACTCATTATCTCCTTGTATGTAGATGTTCTCATCTATACTAGGAACAATGAGAGTTTGATCAAACAAGGCAGATATGATAAAGACATTCGAGATGAGTGAGCTTGAACCGATGCACTACTTTGTTGGGTTGGAAGTAAGTCAAGGAAGAGAGGGGGTCTTCATCGCACAAAGGAAGTACATAGAAAATCTTCTAAAAAAGTTCAAAATGTATTGCTGAAAGTCTATCGCTGCACCCTTAGTAACCAATGAGAAACTAAGCAAAGACGACGGCTTACCGAAGGCAAACGGTTCACTCTACAGAAGTCTTATTGGGAGCCTACTGTATCTAATAGCTATGAGACCAAACATCATATTCGTTACGAGTTTGCTATTAAGATTCATGCAAAGTCCTAGCCACGTCCATTATGGAGCAGTAAAGAGGATACTCAGGTATTTACAAAGGATGAAAGACTATGGGATTTGGTACTCACCAACCACATATGTAAAACTAATTGGTTACATTGATAGTGATTGGGTTGGATCAGTAGATGACATGAAAAGTACCTCAGGCTATACATTCTCACTAGGGTCAAGTATATTCTCATGGGCATCCAAGAAGCAAGATTCGATGGCACAATCAACAACCGAGGATGAGTATATAGCAACAGTTGTAGCAACAAGTCAAGCTATATGGCTCAAGTGCATGCTAGGAGACATGGGCGAGATACAGTCTGATCCTACAAGCATTTACTATGACAATAAGTCAACGATAGCAATAATCAAGAACTCGGTCCATCACAATAGAACTAAACACATTGTGATAAAGTATCACTTCCAACGAGAGGCAACAAACAACGGAGAGATCGAACTAGAGTACTGTAGGACAAAAGAACAAATAGCTGATATATTTACGAAAACACTACTACGACCAAAGTTTGAATTACTACGAAGCATGCTGGGAGTATAAGAAAAGTTCAATGAGGAGCAGTGTTAAAAGACAGCTCACTTTTCTAAAATATCCCGTAAAAGAAGAGGCCAGAAAAATCTAGAATTCTAGGCAACTAATGACAAGATATTAATGTAGAAATTTCTTGAAAAAGTCGATGGAATTAAGCTGTAAAGAAAAATCAGATGCTCTGGGAAATGTAAACCGCCATTCTATTTAGTTTATATGGCAGTGGAAAAAGCCTATAAATAGGCATTGAGTTCTTCAATGTACGTCAAACAAAAAACAAAAAGAACAAAGCTTCCCATAGGGGTGAGCACGGGTAACGGGTAGAACCAGAACCGGGGGTAAGAACCGGAACCGGAACCGGAACCTACCTAGAACCTGCACTGTACGGGTAGGTTCCGGTTCCAATTTTTTGGAACCGCTATTGTGCGGCTCCGGTTCCGGTTCCGGTTCTTGCATGTGGAGGAACTGGAACTGGAACCGGAACTTGTAAAAAGGGTACCCTGTTTGGAACCTATAGGGGGTACCCGGTTTGGAACCTATTTTGGAATCTATTTGGAACCTGTTTGGAACCTGTTGGGAACCTGTTTTGGAACCTGTTTGGAATCTGTTTTGGAATCTATTTGGAACCTGCTTTGGAACCTGTTTGGAACCTGTTTTTAGAACTTGTTTAGAATCTATTTTGGAACCTGGACTATAATGAAATATTTGTGAAATGTAAATAATGGGGGAGTTTCTATTATTTTACATATAAAAAAATTTAAAATAGAAAAAGTTAAATTTTTAGAATAACCTAATTAAATAAATATACGAATACAATTATACTTATTACATATAAATTACACCATATTAAAAGCTTTAATATATTATAATACATTAATATTAAAGTTTTGATCAATTAAGTGAATAATTGGAATTATGATCCAATTAAAAGTGTTTTACATTTTTAATGTTATTAAAAGAATTATTTTTGAATAAAATAGTATATTTGATTGAGTAATAATATATTTAGTTATTTACTTCAATTATCAAGTTCTAAGTATATCTATAATAAATTAGTAATTAATTAATTATATATGATAAATTGATAAACATTAATAAATTTAATTACTAGTTAAATATCATACTTAATCAATTATAACATTACATTATAGTTAAATGATTACTTAATTAATTATAATTTTATAACATTACTTAATTGATTTATAGTATAATTAATTATAGCATTACATTAATTGATTACTACTTAATTAATTGACTTATAAGTTATAACATAATTAAATAGTTAATTAATTGACTTATAATTAGAAATTTAATTAATTATAGCATTACGTTATAGATTTATAGTATAATTACTTAATCAATTATAACATTTTATTATAAACATTAGTACAAACTTAATTAAATGATTAAAAATTTAATTAATTATAATATTACATTAAAAATTTATAGTATGATTATTTAATAGTTAATTCACTATAACATTACATTATAGTATGATTATATAATTAATTATAACATTACATAATTAAATAATTACTTAATTGATTATGTCATTATATTATAAATATTAGTAATTACTAATTTACTACATAAACATTAGCATAATACTTAATTAAATGATAAGAAATTTAATTAATTATAACATTACCTTATAAACATTTCATTATAAACATTAATTAAACATTACATTATAGTTAAATAATTACTCAATTAAATTATAATATTATTATATTACATTATATATTATGATCACTTACTTAATTATAGCATTACATAGTTAAATGATTACATAATTACATAATTAGTTATGAATTTATAACATTACATTATAAACATTAGTAATTTACTAATTTACTATATTATTACATTACTTAATTAAACGATTAAAAATTTAATTAATTATAACATTACCTTATATATTTATAATATAATTACTTAATCAATTATAACATTCCATTATAAACATTAGTATATTAATCAAATGATTTGAAATTTAATTAATTATAATATTAAATTATAGATTTATAGTATGATTACTTAATTCATTATAACATTACATTATACTATTATAGTATGATCATATAATTAATATAACATTACATAATTAAATGATTACTTAATTGATTATGAGTTATGATATTATGTTTTAAACATTAGTAATTACTAATTTACTACATAAACATTAGCACAATACTTAATTAAATGATAAGAAATTTAATTAATTATAACATTACCTTATAAACATTTCATTATAAACATTAATTAAGCATTACATTATAGTTAAATAATTACTCAATTAAATTATAATATTATTATATTACATTATATTATGATCACTTACTTAATTATAGCATTATATAGTTAAATGATTACATAATTACTTAATTAGTTATGAATTTATAACATTACATTATAAACATTAGTAATTTACTATACTATTACATTACTTAATTAAACGATTAAAAATTTAATTAATTATAACATTACTTTATATATTTGTAATATGATTACTTAATCAATTATAACATTCCATTATAAACATTAGTATATTAATTAAATGATTTGAAATTTAATTAATTATAATATTAAATTATAGATTTATAGTATGATTACTTAATTCATTATAACATTACATTATACTATTATAGTATAATCATATAATTAATATAACATTACATAATTAAATGATTACTTAATTGATTATGACATTATATTATAAACATTAGTAATTTACTAATTTACACAATACTTAATCAAATTATTATAACATTATATTATAAATTTACGGTATGATTATTTAATTAATTATAACATTCAATTATAAACAATATTACAATACATAATTAAATGATTAACAATTCAAGTGTTGCTTAGAGATTACAGGTTATGAGTTACATTGGATACAAATGAATGAATAATGAAAATTTGTTAGGGGTGTATTTGTAAACTTATAAGGTGTTTTTGTTATTTTTTAAACTAATAGGGGGGTAATTGATTTTTTACAGGGTACCCTGGAAAGGAACCGGAACCTGTATTTTAGGTTCCGGTTCCTTGAATTGAAGAACCTGCACTGTGCTGTTCCGGTTCCGGTTCCTTTTTTTGGGAACCTGCACTATACGGTTTCGGTTCTCCCGGAAAATGTAGGGTACCCGGAACCGCTCACCCCTAGCTTCCCATCCTTGTACTAATTACCCATCCACCTAATAAAATCCTTCTATTGCAATTCAACTATCTCTACTACTTTTTCTCCAAATACCTTCTAATAAGCTTTTCATATTTCAATCAAATCTCCCATCACCAGATCATTTCAACTACCAACAGAAACAAACCTTTTGAAAAATGCATTACAACTTTCAGCTTGTTACTGTTAGTTTTTCAAGGTTCAACAAGGTAAGGGGAAGAGGGATTTTTGTGCATGAGAGAGAGCTAAACAATGAGAGTGAAAAAACTGATTTAAAAAAAGGCTATATTTTTCATTCATAAATAGAGAGATATATGGACCTAATTCATCACTGTTACAACAACTTGTTAGTGTGAATAATCTTTAAATATACACTACAAGAAATATATTATATTGTGACAAAATTAATTTTGTCAAATGTTATTTTGTCACGAGTAATATAGTTATTATGACAAAATAAAGAAACATCATATTAAGTATGACAAAGAGAATATACAATGACTAAAAAAAATATTGTCATAATATTTTATCACAATTAAAAAACCCATAATAAATGTAGTGAAGAAAAACATTTTTATCATAATATTTCGT